CCAGAGTGGAAACCCTGACTCAGTTCAACAAGCTGTTGATAGCTGGTAACTTTTTTCTTTTTTTTTTTCCTTATTTTTTTCATCATGATGTTAGTTATAAGCATTACTACAGAATACTGACTGTTGCTTCTACTATGAAACTTTTTGTTTTATGTTAGTGTAGTAAGTTTTTATGACACTTCTAAGGACTGCCGTTCTGGCTGGTATCTCATTCATCGTGACTGAAGTTTTTTATTATATACCTGAAAATAATCTGCATAAGTCTCTGAATATCCTATAATCTGTGATTGCTATGTATTAGTATTCGAACTGTAATTTCTAGACCAAAGTACACTCACTCAGACAAATTGAGCCAAAGGAAACATAGATTGAGTGAATATCTGTAATGTCATAGCCATATGAAAACTAAATGTTTAAAATTTAGAATGCTAGTGAACATCAATGTAATAGACCAATAACAATAGAAAGTTGTCCCACCTTGTATTGGTTGGTTTAGGTTATGTTTGGTTATCGGCTGTTTGGGCAAAAAAGCTAAGTTAGCGGTTTTGACCAAATAAAACTGCTAACAATGATGTTTGGTTAAGTAGTTATTAGCTTAGCGGATGGGAAAAAAAGCTAAAATCTGAAACGCTTAGAATTGGAGCGTTTGTGAATGGCGTTTTGAGTTATTTAATTAGATCACATGTTTTCTTATTGGTTAATTACTATTAATAACTTACCTACATCATTGACCAAATAATTTATTTTTTAAAAATAGCACTGAAGTAATTGTAACATGTTTTTGCATTACAAAAGCTAATTATTTTCAATTTATTTCCAAATAATTTATTTCTTGAAATAGCATTGAAGCAATTGTAACATGTTTTTGCATTACAAAAGCTAATTATTTTCAATTCATTTCGTATCAGTTATTCAAATAAATAACAAACAAAAATGTAAAATTTGATTCATTTTCTGAAACGCTAAGAATTGGAGCGTTTGTGAATGGCGTTTTGAGTTATTTAATTAGATCACATGTTTTCTTATTGGTTAATTACTATTAATAACTTACCTACATCACTGACCAAATAATTTATTTTTTAAAAATAGCACTGAAGTAATTGTAACATGTTTTTGCATTACAAAAGCTAATTATTTTCAATTTATTTCGACATAATTTATTTCTTAAAATAGCATTGAAGCAATTGTAACATGTTTTTGCATTACAAAAGCTAAAATTTTTCAATTCATTTCGTATCAGTTATTCAAATAAATAACAAACAAAAATGTAAAATTTGATTCATTATTGATAGATAATTATTTACCCTTTTTTTTAATTTTCAAGAGTGACTCTCAATTTTATTTTAAAAATATACAAAAAAAATGAATTATTTGTAGTTAGTGTAACATTAAAAAAAATATTAGATTGTATTTATAAATAATTTAGTAACGGCTAATTTTCAAACAGTTAGTTTTACCAAACCGTTTTTAATTCGCGATGACTTGTTATTGGTTGTTTATATGACGTGAACTTATTTACTCGATCAAGAAATATTTTCATTTCATTATTATATATATTTATTATATTTAAATCACTTGAATAAATATTTACAATATTAATTATTTATATTTCCTAAATAATTATAAGTTCAACATGAATTAGAATGATAAAAAAGTATGTTAATGTCCTTATAAGTAATTTTACATGTGAACAACTAATAAAAATAGCTAATTTTACGAAACACTCTTTTACAAACTGCTAACACAATGTCAAAAGAGCTAACACAATCCGCTGGTCAAAACAACTAATGCAATTTGCTAACAGCTAACAGCTAATCGTTGATTACCAAACAAGGCCTTAGTCTTTTGCAGAAAATATAAATCCTAGTGTTGCGTACAGATCTAACGCACTTCCTTAGTCATGAAAATCATTTTCAGTTTCCATTGTTGATTTTTGAATCCCATGGTAGCTAGGTGGAAAAACATGTATAAGCTGTCCCACCTCAAAGACTCCATAAACTTCTGGTTCTACTTGTCATTCTCATAATTTTTTTTTTTTTTTTGGAAAATATTTTTTCTCTTTCATGAGTCTTGCGAAATGTATGTTTTTCGAAAGAATTATTTATAGAAGCGGTAGAAAAGGTAGTTGCAAATCAGAACTTTGTAGTGTAGCCAATAGAAGTGAGAAGTTGAATAATTGGAGTTTGCTTGCTGAAGAATTTGTTGAGTGTTCTGATTGTGTAACAATTAAATTAGAAGCAAACTCGGAAACCCAAAGCGTCCTTTGCTTTAAATATTGATCAATGGTAAGGAACAACCATAACTAGTTGCCATTTATGAACAGAATAACTTGAGTTTTTTCTTTTTTGCCAACAGCTAAGAATCAGGCCCAACCACCCCCACCCGCCCCACAGTGTTTGCATATGCTATCTTAGTCACCGATGAGTGAATATTGATTGACTTTTGTTTTAATGTGGATTCTAGGCTATTTTGTGCAATTAAATAATTGGTACATCTTCATTCCAGCCCAGTTGATTGTATACATTGGACTTCTGCTGCCCAGTTATCCCTGCTTGAGGATGAGATGCGGAGAGTAGAAAGAGTCAATGTAAGAGAATACTTATGGTTAGCATAGTTCTGCCTTTCATTTACACTTTTGGGACTGAAACCAGATTTTCCTTTAGGCTATCAGAGTATCATATAGATTGCCATTCTTTATAGGAAGGTGAGTTATAATTTTTTATGTTTTTTATTAATGTAGTTTGTCCTTGACAGACAAGGCCTAGTTTTTTTTCATTTTTTTTTTCTTTTAATTGAAAACTGGTCCTGGGAGGACGGGGGATTGAGGCCGGATTCCCAGCCTGTGAATACATAATATACATAATAAAACATAATCAGCTTCCTTTGGGTTTCGGTCAAAAGTAGAATTAAGCTCATATGGTACATAGTACAGTACATAAACGAAGAGATAAAAAAAAAACACAAAAATAAATGTCAGCAACTGGGCTAACAGGTGCCCATTAAAACAACCTGCACCACCGACGGGGGCTAAATCTGCACTACAGACAACGCTTAGTTAACACTGAGAACTAGTTGAACACAATGTTCTTCGTCTTTTTACAGTGACATCTTGGGTAGTGGGAACTGTGTGATTATCTCTTCTCTTAAGATACTCATTTCTATACATAGAACAGGCTTGGGTGCCTTCATCTCTTTTTGACTTTTTCATTATTTTGCAGCTTCATCCTGAGATGATGATAGTCTTTTACTTCTTTATTTGTTCTCTATTTTTGCAAATTTACAGGTTTAGTTTAATTTATTTCAACTGTATACATTAGCTGTTTATGTGAATATTGAGTTTTTGGAACACTTTTCTTACAAGGAAATATTTGAGGCCATTGGTTGACATTGGGAACAGGCAGAAATTTAAATCGTTGAACAAATTCTTACGCTGTCATCCCATGCTTTATATAAACAACTCTGCCTTTAAGATTTCTATCATGACTATGCATGAGTGTCAGCTTTTACATGTTCTATTGACTGGTGAATTTACTAATATTTTAGTACTCATCAGGTTGCCTTGATGCTCTCAGGAATGGGCTCAGCATCTGTAGATGTCTTTCGCATGGTAAGAACTCTGGTCATGAGATTTGTTCCTTAACATTCATAGAGGTTTTTAATCTTGCGATGCCTAATGCCTCGGTATGCTATTAATTCAACCACAAGAAGTTGGATCCTCTCATCCAGTTATAAAATTCCTACTGTTATAAAAAAGTTTCTTTGTTGCCTGTAGAGTAGATTGTAATAAAGATTACATATTCTAGCTATACATTATTTGGAATCTTTGTTTTGAGTTTTGACCAACTGACCTTTGGTGATCAAAACTGCCTTTGCAATAAATATGTTCAATAGATTTGGTTACAAAAGAGATGGAAAAATCTGGACTCATTGCAAGTTGAAGCAATGAAGCTGGGTATGTCAAGAGTCCACAAAAAAATTTTGGATGTTTGTCTGATAAGTAAAATCTCAACGAGAACTAATGCTTTTCAAGTGCTTCAAAAAACTCAGTACTTTATGGGAAAATTCAATGTATTCATCGAAGATGTGTACCATGAAAACAGGGTTTCCCCTTATATAGGGACCCAACAATAGACTCGTAACATAGCTATGAATAGTCTGCTTAAGAAATGGCCGCTACTGAATCGGTTGCCCATGGAATTTCATCACAGTATCACACATGAACTAATCTCATGGGTAATTATGTGTGGTGCAATATGAAGATGCAAAATTTGGGGGGGTTCAGTTTCTCGATTCATGTTGTGCACTTTATTTTTGTAGTGCTTGCTGTTACGTGGCACTATGATTACAAAATTATCCAACTCTTATCCTCTATAGGATTTGTTAGTTTAGCTATGGGTTTTATTAATCCTGATTAATTTTACTGTTTCAGGCGAGCATTAGATGGGAAAAGAGACAAGCTAAAGTTTTGGTGAGAATTCTAAATGTGAATGTATAATATGAATAAATGGCATTCTGATTCAGTGATACTGCACATGTTAGTTTTCTGTACTTGTATGGTCTGCTGGGAGATATAGTTGGAAACTGTAGGACCAACATGTGCTTCAAATCAACAGATATATTCTTAAATCCAGGAGAATGTTAGCTGCAAGGGTTATCCTTGAGCTGATTAAATATAAACCAAGTATGAATCCACGTAATAATACATTGACATAGTAGAAACAAGTAGTCTTTTCAATTGTAATAATACAAGTGTTGGAGTTTGAGGTGTTGAAGATGAATTCTGTTACAAAACGAGCTGTGGAAGATGATAATATCTAATATATCTAAATAAATGCAAAACCTTAATAAATATTTTCAGAGATAATAATATTGCACTATGAATTTTCCGTCTCGTTTTCAATTTCTATTTTTTTTTCCAAGATATATATTGTTCACAGGTTCATGTACAATTTAGAGCTCCTATATGTTGATTAGGCATGATGTTTAAAAGTTGTAAAGCGCTCTTATTACCTGTTAGTTGGAATTTTACATTCCCGCTAATGTTGGATTTTGAGTCGATAGATCCTAGAACTGAGATGACCAATAAGATGTCAAACTGTTGGACCTTCATTTCTTTCTCTTTTGTGTTCCGAAGAGAAAGTTTTCACTAACCGAAGCTGGTATTTGGTGCCTATTCCTGAGAACGTCCCTTTCACTGCAGCAACAAGCTAAAATGAGAATTGTGAAGCAGAAGGATTCTGACAAAACTCAAACTTATTGGAGCGACCTTTGGGGCAAAACCAAAAAGTACGAGAATACAGGTACATATTTTGCAGCACCTCTCATTGTTCTTTTATTTACTGAATGGTGTTACCACTTACAAGGCTCATTTGTTTGGTTCATTTGCCCTCTTTTTCATTCTTTCTGGAATTAGTCTTCTGCTGAAATCAGGATAACTGTCCTGTTTATCCGGCAAACAAGACCCTTTGTTTTCCTTGCATGTAATATGATTTACTTCAGGCCCTTAAGTAGAATTGAACGCTAGATCCAACTTCTTTATTCAACGAGAGCAGAATCATCAGTTTACATGGAGGAAAAAGGAAAAAACTTCAAGGACGAATTGCTCTTAAAATCAGAAGAAATCAAATGTTACGCAAATCTGGATCAAACCTCCCAACTTCCCAACCTTAACCACAATTATTTTTTAATTAGTTATCTCTACAATGTACTTCTTGGAAGTATGAAGCATTGTCTCTAAATTGCTGGGCTCGTTTTGGAATCATAGGACCCTGAAGTTCTTTCATTGAAGTGCTTACCTTTATTGAATCTTAAGCTACATGGTCCCACGTTGAGCCTTCAGTGTTGGGAGATTTTTTTTTTTTTTTTTTTGGAACAATAGATTTTACTCATAAAAAACACAAAGTTACAGACTAGATAACATCCAAACAGCTGAATTAATCAGCTACTCCGTTGAATCTAGTTGGGAGGACTCTTCCAAAGGCTGGTAATCGGGTACCCTAGAACCAACAAACTCCCAACGGGAGAATACAAATATATGAAGACTTAGCATTATGCATTTGTGGTGCCAGACATGTTTGAGTCCCCATTTGATTTTATATCGCTTGTGAAAGTATAAAGATTTTGTTGGCATAACTCATATGTTTAGCTACTAAATAGCATTATAGCTCTTCTCGTAAAAGGGCTCACATTCGTGTTCTGAAATACTACAGTTTTTTAAAGGGTAAAAGAAGAGTAAACTCTTTGGTTGTAGCTGTTGCTGAATATTTCTTTGTTTTTGCAGAGGAAGAAGTGAAAGAGAGGGCAGCACGAGCTGCAGCAGCAGCGCGAAGATGGAGAGAGTATTCTAGAAGGGGTGTCGACAAACCTCCCACATTCAAACTTCCGGAAGCCGTCTCCAACAAAGAACAGTGAGCATTAAACATGATGTAAGAACCCTTCTCAAATCTGTATGTTTGTCGTATATACATGTAAATGTTAGTCCGTCCTATTGTTTCTTAGTGGTCTTGTATAAAATTCAACAATGTATGTAACAGTGTCATACGTAGAAATGCAACATGTCATAAGAACCACAACCTTACAAATTCGTATCTTGAAAGAGGCTGGCTCAATTCCTGCTTCTTTGTGCCGCCACAACGCACTCTAGTTGTGGCATAATAGACGCTCAGGTAAGTTAAAATTAATTTTATTGATATATGTATTAATAATGGGGTAAAGGTTAAAATTGGATAACACGAATTGGACACATCTAAAAGTTTTAAATATTAGGTTCCATTCTAGAAAAATGTAATTCATAATCTTCAATCGGGTTGGAACAAGTGGAGGAGCGTGTTGTCGATACTTTGTGATCGTAAAGTACCAGTGAGTTTGAAAGGCAAGTCAAACGGCCATTCAATGGAAGATGCCATATGGATTCGAGTGTTAGGTAAGTAAATATGAAAATGATCAAAAAATGCGAGTGACAGAGATGAGAATGTTGAGATGGATGTGTGAACATACTAAGTTAGATAAGATTAGAAATAAAAGTATCAAAAATAAAGTAGGGGTAACGCCTATAGAGGAGAAAATGAGAAAATCACGATTAAGGTGGTTTGAACACGTGCGTATGAGAGACTTCAAGGCACCGGTGAGAAGGGTAAAATTATTAGAATTAAGATGCAAACTAAAAGGGAGGGGGGAGGGGGGAATAGACACAAGAAAACTTAGGAGAAAAAAAATTATTAAAATATTTAAATTTGAATGAGGATATGTGCTTATCAAGCACAATGATAACATGTGATTCATATAGTCGATCCCACTTAGTAAGTTTTTGATAGTTTGTTGATTGAATGATTGATATATGTATATATACTAGTACAACGCCCGTGTATTACACGAGTGATTGCTAATTTTTTCCTTAAAATCTAAAATTAATGAGAAAAAATAGTTGAAATTTTAAATATCTTTTATTAAAATATATATATATATATTATTATGTATTTAGTATGACACTTTTTATTTGTGTGACATACTTGTGTTATATTATAATAATTTTTTTAACTTACAACATATAACTACATTAAACATAAATATATCAACTGAGAAATAATTTTATTTTTATTTAATAAATTTTAATAAATATTATTATTTTTTATTATTATAAGGATAAATATAATTTATTTATTTTATATATAGAATATGGATGTCATATCGAAGATCATGAAAAAATGATTAATTTGATATATTATATATGTAAAACCGATAAGAAACACAACAATTATCAACTTTTAAAATACAATTATAATTCAATAGCTAATTGAAGGAAACAAATCAAAAGTCAGTGATATATTAGTCACTTCGTGCCTCACTATGTAAAATTACAAAGAATTAAAGAGTTATATTAGTACAAGTGATATTAAAATACTTAAGTTAGCTAAATAATATTTATGGAATGTCCGAACCTAGATTATTAATTCTTAATAAATCAATATTATTTGTCTAAACCTAATTACGAAGTATGATTCTTCGCCAAGTAGGATTCCGAATCACCAGAAACAGCCACGTAGGCTCAGCGCATTCAGAAATTATATATAGGGGGGATATATATATATATATATATACATATATATATATATAAATATATATATATATATATGGATGAGGTTCTATGAGAATGATCCAACCAGCAATGGGTTTCGACAGCCACCTTCAGCCACGACGTTGTCCATCTCGTTAAGACCTTCATGGCAGCACGCAGTGTCTGTGGCCAACTGATGTTAATCCTCATAACAGACCCGCGCTAGGCCATGGCCATCGACCTAGTTGTCCACGTCAGGTAACCAGTAGAAAATTAGTCGCATCATCTCTACTGCTCGTCGCCGTCGTCGACGTAACCGTAGTCCACTCTAGCGCCACCGCCACCTCCGCCACTGGGCGTGTCGAGTCGTCCTCTACCATGACCTCTGTTGTCCTTCATTTGACCGCGCCGAAGGTCAACGTCGCGACTCGACGACATGCAGGAGGTGCCTAAAATTCCATCTGCCGCCACCCCAACCCTGACCCCTATAGGACAAATCTAATTTGAGATGTGTGCTTTTTTTTAGGGATTTATTTGCAATTTCAGGAATTTTAATTATATTGCAATTTAGTTTATAGGTTAAAGTGTAATTTATTAAAATTTAAACGTGCATTAGTGATAAGTAAAAATGCACAATATGTGTATGGATATGCATATTAAAAGTACATGTGTTGTGCACATTAGCCCCTGCAAGAATGTACGTTAGTGTAATAGCCTGTGCAACGACGAAAATACATCTGCGTGAAAAATCAAAAGTACACACTTACAACAATGCCACCTTCCATATGACGAAAGTTGGACCATTTGACCGCCCCTGGAGCGTTGATATATTGCATCCGATCGCTACAATCCATTATTATTTATTTCACTATGACACATTCTCACTTGATCATAACTATGGGTGAACGTGGGTCGGTACAGTTCGGAGATTGATAAATCTCCGGAACCGTACCAAAGTTCGGAGATCCCAAAATTCGATCTCCGGAACCGTACCAAAAAGTCGGTTCGGTTCGGAGATTTTTACTTTCGGTTCGGTTCGGTATTCGGGACTATTGGGTCGGTACGGTTAGGTATGGTTTGGTTCAGATCTTCGGAGATTTCTTATTTTTTTTTTAGATTTTTTTTAATGACTACCTAGTTATATTTTAATTTTATATGCTTTAAAAAAACAATATTCATCAATAATTCATCATATTGAAGATTTTATTTTGAAATCAATTTTAGAAGTAACTCTAAATTTTAGTTATTTATTTTTTATATGCTTTAATAAAACCAACATTCATCAATACTTCCTCATATTAAAAAATTTATTTTGAAATCAACTTTAGAAGTAACTAAATTTTAGTTAAGACTAAATTTGTGCAACTAATAGTGAAAATCTAAAATTCAATCAAAATATAATATTTTTTTCTAAAAAAATATTCTTTAACCTTTCATATTATTTTAAATATCCTCCCTATATATAATTTATATAATAAATAAAAATTTGATTATTTAAAAAAAATTGCGCGGCCTACTGGCATAACCGGCCGTGCATGGGTACGGCCGGTTTCGCCAGCCGGTGACGGGATTTAATTTTTTTTGTTTGAAAATATCAAAGACAAAATTGTTCAAAGAGGGTATGTAGTAATTAATAAAGGGACGATGAATAGTAACATTCATAATGAAATCTTATGCAAAAATAATGATGATGAATTTCTAATATTTGATTAAGGGTTGGTTTTGACGATGACCAAGTGGGTCAATTCATCATTATTTTGTAACAAAAAAAAAAAGAATGTTGTTAAAATTTTAATATATTTTACATATCTCTCACTGTAAAAGTATGCACGTGTTTTAAAACACTGGCTCACAGCAACTATACCAATTTTCTATTTTCATCTCTCAAATCGATGAGAACTTCGGAGAGTCTTTTTTTTTTTTTCAACAGCAATCAAAAGCAATGTCTTACAAGGATTATCCCACTGGATAACAACAATCTAGCACACTCTAACTAAGTGACTACATGCCAAGAAGAACCCACAGATAGTCCTTTTACAAAGCCTCAAGGGCACAAATAAAAGATCTAGAACAAGAAAATGTGTCATAACTTACAGAACAAGAATCAAATGTAGACATCAAATTGACAACTTCATCTGCAATGCTTTGAACTTCTGAATCAGCCACTCTCTGTTCATTGAGCACCTCAGCTGTGATTAAGGAATCCACATGGAATAGAATCCTCGAGTTTGTGTTTGCTGCTATTTTCCTAAGGGCCCATCCGACAGCTTTCAGATTAGCTTCCTCCTTGTTGTTAGCTGATTCACCTTTTGCCTTCCACTGCATTGAGTTCTCAACTGACTCCATCACACCTCCAAACCCCCAATCTCCCTCTGGAAATTGGCAAGCACTGACAAATAGTGATATTTGTCCTACTGCTGTTCCATTGGGATTTCTACCTCTGTGCTCCACTCTCATCTGCACATCCTCCTTTCTACTATGTTTTGCAGCTGCGGACTCAAATTCAATCCATTCCTTTCTTGCTCCATCAACCAACTCCTTCTCTGTTATTCTGGTTTTAGTGAACAACCATGAGTTCTTGGTTCTCCACAACAACCACATTAGGTAAGTAGAGAGATTGATTCTGTCCTGAAAGTATTGATCCCCTCTTCCATTATTAACAGCCTCCCACCAATCTGTAAAATTAACCTGTTTACTCCCCAGCAGATTCCATTGAATCCCCAGCAATTTCCAGCACAGAACAGCCCTAGAACATCTGAACAAGATATGTTCCAAGTTCTCTGGCTCCTCTCCACATATATAGCAGACACTATCTACCATCATCATTTTTTTAATCAGCTGATTGCTAGTAGGTAAGAAGCCATACCAGTACCGCCAGATGAAGTTTTTAATTTTGTTCTTGATGGGTCTCTTCCAAGTAGTCTTCCACATGGTCCTCAATCTTTGAGCACTTGAGCTGGAACTTGCATTTTGATGTTTTTGCTGGTAATGATTTTGCAGGACCTTGTACACATCTTTCACCACAAAGAGGCCTTTGGGATGCCCATGCCATATCAATTTATCCTTAGGCCTGGAATGGCTTAGAGGAATTTTAAGGATTTGTTCTGCATCATTAGCAGAAAAAGTTTGAAAAATTAATTCTTCATCCCAATGCCACCCACTCTGATCTATAAGATCACTCACTTTCCTCAATCTCCCCTTATCACTCTCAAAACACAGCTTAGGGCAAAACCCCAAAGAAGTAGGCACCCAAGGAGAGTCCCATATATCAATAGCTTGACCATCTCCTACCTGAAACCTCATGCCTAATTTCAGAGTATCCCTAGCCACTAGCTAGCTCTTCCAAAGCCATGAGTCACTGTTTTTAGCTTTCACCTCTCTAATATTCTGATCCTAAAAGTATTTACCTCTAAGAACCCTACTAACAAGGAGATTTGGGTTAGTTAGAACCCTCCAGAGCTGCTTAGCAATCAAAGCCTCATTGAAAAGTCTAAAGTTTTTAAAACCTAACCCCCATCACATTTAGCTGTGGATAACAACTCCCAATCACACCAGTGGATCCTATCTTTCCCAGACTCAGAAGAACCCCACCAAAACTTAGCAATTTCCTTACAAATAGAATTACAAATAGAAATAGGCAACCTGAAGCAAGACATAACATAAGTTGGTAGAGCTTCCAGGATAGACTTAATAAGAGTTTCCTTCCCTACCTCACTCAAAAAGCAATTTTTCCACCCACTCACTCTCTTACTGACATACTCAGTAACAAATTGAAATGTTTCTTTCTTTGATCTTCCCACCCCCAAAGGCAACCCTAAGTATTTAGCAGCACTCACCTTTGAAATTCCATTCAGGACCACACAGATTTCCTGTTTCAACCCCTCAGAAGCATTTTTAGAGAAAAATACAGAAGATTTAGACTAATTGACCAATTGGCCAGAAGCATCTCCATATTCCTTAAGAATTTTCAACACCAAATGAGCATGATGAAGTTCAGCTTTACAAAAAAGGAGAGAATCATCAGCAAAAAATAGATGAGACACAATAGGAGAATGTTTACCAATTTTGATCCCTTTAAACTCTTTTCTCCAACAAGCCTGCTTAATCAAATTAGAGAAAGCTTCTGAAACTAAAACAAACAAATAGGGAGACAAAGGGTCTCCTTGCCTTAGGCCTCTAGAGGGCACAAAAAAACCAAGATTACTACCATTAACATTGAATGAGAATGAAGATGAACAAATGCAGGCAAGGATCCAAGAAACAAACTGATTACAAAAACCCATTTTTAAGAAGATAGTAACTAAAAAGTTCCACTCTACTCTATCATAAGCTTTTGCCATGTCAAGTTTGATTGCCATAAACTTTTCTTTACCAGCCCTTTTGCCATTTAAAAAATGAATACTTTCAGAAGCTATCACTACATTATCTAAAATTTGTCTTCCAGGAACAAATGCTGTTTAAGAAGAAGATATGCAACAATGAAGAGCTAGTTTAAGTCTATTGGCTAAGATTTTAGCAATTATCTTGTAGACCACAGTACAGAGACTGATAGGTCTATGGTCAGCCACATGTATAGGATTCTTCTTCTTAGGGATCAAAGTAACCACTGTATGATTGATGTTCCTAGGCATTTTACCATGATTAAAAAAATTCTGAACAGCAAGACATAGTTTATCCTTAATAACCTCCCAAGAATTTTGAAAAACCCAGGGGTCATCCCATCAAACCCAGGGGCTTTATTAGGATCCATTTCCATCAAAGCTGTTTTAAACTCAATCACAGTCACTTCTCTAGTAAGCTCCCTATTCATGTCAGCAGAAATAGAAACTGGAATACCACTCATATCACAACTATCAACCAGAGGATTAGAAGATTTGAACAAGGTCTGAAAATAGATCATCAGTTCTTCCACAGTTTCCTGGGAGTTTCTGCACACAGACCCATCACTCTTCACTAAATTCTGCTAGCTATTCAACTTTCTTCTATGATTCACAGTAGCTTGAAAGAACTTAGTGTTTCTATCCCCACCTTTCAACCAACTAACCCTAGATTTCTGTCTCCAGTACACTTCCTCCTGCTGATAAGCCTCACACAAATGGTTTTTAAAAAAATGCCACACATCCCATTTTCTATCCCCTCCCTCAGCCTCCAATTTTGCTAACCTATCCTTACAACTGTTTATGAGCTTAGTAGAGTTAAGCCCCTGTTTTTCTTTCCAGATAAAAGAGCTGCTTTAACATTTCTAATCCTGTTCATAATTTGGAACAAATCAGGGCCCCCAACCTGCACCTCCCAAGCCTTTCCTGCAACCTCTGAGAACTTTGGAGAGTCTTATGCTAGCTATTTTGTTTTTGCCATTTTTTGTTCACTTTGATTCTCTTTCCAGATTTCACAACAGGGAGAAATTCTTTTTAGGGCTTAACTTTTTGATACTCTCTATTATTCATAATAAG